CCTTTGCAATTTCTGTTTTACATTTTAAAATCCGGGGAAGAGATACATCTGTATTGAGATGCAGGAAAAATGTGAGGCTCCATTAACATGATTTGTGGCTTTCTAAGTCATTCTGGAAGCTTCAAAAAATGTCCAGCCCCAAACATCAAACATTGTTCCTATAATGAGTGAGGAGTGATTCACTGGCTGTCCAAGGCTGGGCCCCTGTGAGGATTTCTTTCGGGGTGGGAAAGGGCCGGCCTTGGGACTTTTCCCCTTAGATTCCAACCCAAACTTAAGTTGATTTTTACTAAGGAAATGTCATGGGTATCACTTGCCAGAATAGACAGCTAAGCCTTGTGTCAACACCCACCCCAAGCCAGTGAAAGTGAAACATATATATACACACACCCTACTGTGAGCATTTCCTACTAAGCCAGAAATGGACAGCCTGGAAAAATATTCCAGGTCACTCAGAGCATGCAGAACCACATAGCAGGAATCTTTCACACCCATCTGAACACCTCTTGAGTCAGCATCTTCAAGGATAGAGAACCCGAAGTTTTATTAACCCTGGGAGTGCTGATGAAGTTGAGATCTCTTGGGAATGCAGGCCCCGACACCTACATCTGGGACCCACTTCCATCTGTCTCTGATCTCAGAAGTCTCAGACCTGCAGCCGGCAGAATATGGACAAAGGTCAATATAGGCCGAGTTCCCATGTGTGTCCCCAGAGTTTAGCCACGAGAATCTTTCACGCTGGTCCCTTTATCGGCTTCCTAACAGACCTGCTGCTTCCATTCTTGCCCTACAGGGCACACGGCAGTCAAAGGCAACTTTCTCAAGTGTCAATCAGATAATATCTGTCCCCTGCTCAGGTCTTTCCAAAGACTGCCCATCAAAAGCAGACAAAACTCCAAATTCCTCATTGGAATCTTGAAAGCCCCCCACATCTTCCTCTGACAAATCTCCAACTGTGCTTCCTCCTCCCGCTCTCCCACCTTCTATACCCTGGCCTGGTTCCCACAAGCCCTGGACTATACCTCGCCTCAGGGCCTTTGCACTTGCTGTTTTTTCCCAGAACTCCCTTCCTGCGGGTCTTCCCATACCTGGCTCCTCCTCCACCTTTGGGTCTCAGTCCAAATGTACCTCCTCAGGCCTCCTCTGAGCCCTCCATGATCTAAAGAAGCCCCTGGCCCTGCACCCTTTTCTCTCACATGCCTTTGTGGTTACCACTCTCTTATGTTACTTTGTTCACATATTTGCTTATATGTGTTCACTGTCTTCTCCCTAATTAAAATGTCAACTCCATGAGGGCAGGAACCAGATCTATCTGGTTTTCCTGTGTCCCCTAGAACAGTGTTTGGCACACAAAGGTCCTTGAACATTCTTGCTGATTTAATGGATGAATGAGTTAGCGAAAGAATAAACCAGTGGTTCTCAAAGGGGAGCTGATTTGCACCCCTACTCGGCGATGTCTGGGAACATTTTTGGTTGGCATGACCAGGTGGGCCTGCCACTGGCATCTGGTGGGTAGAGGCCAGGGATGCTGCTAAACATCCTACAATGCACAGGTCAGCTCTTGCAACAAAAAAATGTCCAGCCCCAAACATCGATAGCGTCAACCCTAGATTAATGATTGCGTGAGTTAAATCTCCAGGTCCATGCAGTCAAGCCGCCCGATATTAAACATCAAGGAACCTGACCAACATCCCCTTCCGGTCACCAACTTCCTTGATTATGTGGATCACAGTTCAGCAGAAATCTCTGTTCAGTGTTTTGATTGTTGGGACGGCTTATGCAAACAATTTCATGTTAACAAGAAATGTAAAGGGAAGTTAAGCTGCTATCGATGTAAGGAGTTAATTTCAAAATACGTAATTCTGTGTCCCAATCAAAGAGAACTGAAATTTGTCTAGTTCCCTGATTCTGCAGATTATTTTCTTGGTAATCATGGACCTTACTTAAAATTAAATAGCTCTTGGTGAGACCTGCTTATGTGTCATATTTCTATATTTTTAAAATAGATTTTAGAGTGGGAAGGGGCAGTGTGACTTGTTCCCCAGAGTCACCGGGGACAGGGGGACCCCTGAAGGCAAGGGTTCCTCACTTAACTGAGGCAAACAGAGTTCCTGGAATAACAACAAAGAAAAAGCAAAATTCTTTATCTCTTCAGTATATTGGAGCCTGGTGTGTGTGTGTGTGGGGGGGCACCCTTTGTACCATCACCTGCCCCCTCTCCTTCCTTGCCCCCCTTCCCACCAGCTTTGCTGGGGCCACTGTCAAACACAAATCCAGAGATGTCAGGAATGCTCTGACTTCCTTCAAATGCAAATTTAACTATCCAAACCCAAGCCCCAGATGGAGAGCAAGAGAGAAATCTAAGTCAGGGTTCTCAACCAGGGGCACTTTGGCTCCTGGGGACATTTGGCCATGTCTGGAGTCACAATTGGTAGGGTGGGGGGAGCAGTGATTCTGGTATCTAGTGGGCGGAGACCAGGGATGCTGCTAAAATCCTACACTGCACAAGAAAGCCCCACGACAAAGAATTTTCCAGCCCCAAATATCAACGGTGCTGAGGTTGAGAAAGCCTGCTCTAAATAGTAGGGGCAATTCTGCACTCTCATGGACACAAAGGAAAGTAAAGTGCTCCCCAGAGTAAGCATCGGACGGAAGCCCAAGAAATGCTGTTTCCACAGCGGAGCTTGTCCCCATGAGTGTCCTCTACTAAGCACAGCGCATGATAAGATGCAGAACTCTAGAGCAGAATCTAAGGGTTCAAATCCCCACCCTGCCACCTAACAGCTATGTGACAATGGGCAAGTCACTCAACTCTCTCTTTCCATCAATGTCTTTAACCTTGAAACTGATAAAAATCATGATATCTACTTCATAGGTTTGTAATACAGATTAAACAAATTACTGTAGTTTTTTAGTCCTCTTAACACAACCCTAAGATGGAGCTAATATCATCTTCATTTTACAAAAAAATAGGAGATTCAGAAGGTGCCCTGACTTGTTCAAGGTCATTGTGAGTAAAGGGTCAACCTCAGGCCAGCCTGGGAATGACCTCGGTGGACGGGCCCCTGGGTTGGAGGAACTGTGAGCTGGCAAGCAGGCTGTGGATCTCGAATCATAGAAAAGGTCTGCAGGAAATAGAGGCTGAAGCTCTTGCCCCTAGCAGCCCAACATGGCCCACGTAGGTGACAGAGCACAAGGAACGGTGTGTGGGGCTAGGGGCTGGATCTCCCGATGAGATGAAGGCTACCCTGTATCCTTCTTAAGAGCCAAGTAAGATTCTGATCATGTCTCTGCCCTGCAAAAATCCCAACTCTAGAACTGCACTGTCCAATACGGTAGCCACATGTATCTATTTAAAATTAAAAATCCAAATTTCTGTCCCTTGGTCACGCTAGCCACATATCAAGTGCTCAATGACCAATATGGCTACCATATTGGACAGCACACATACAGTACTCTCCCATCCTCATTGAGCACTCCATTGGGCAATTCCATAAAGGCTGGGGGTGTGTCCTTATAGCTCACACCCCCCCTCCACCAGCCCAGAGTCAGGCATACAGGAGGTGCTCATTAAAAATCGAACTTATGAGTTCAGATGTTCTACATGATCTTTTCCCCAGGATTCCGGTTCTCTTACAGTGTCTTTCCTTAAAGACAATCATGGGTCATTAGGCTGAATAATGGCCCCCCAAAATATCCAGGTCCTAATCTCTGGAACCTGTGAATGTTACTGCATATGGCGAAAGGGACTTTACAGATGTGATTAAAGATCTTGAGATGGGGAGATCATCCCGGGTTATGCCGGTGGGCTCTAAATGCAATCACAAGTAACCCTATAAGAAGGCAGAGGGAGGTTTCATGCAGAGGAAAATAGAGAAGAGAGAGCTCTGAAGATGCTACAAACTCTTGCTGGCCTTGAGGATGGAGGAAGGGGCCCCAAGCCAGCAGCCCCCAGAACCTGGAAATGTCAAGGAACAGATTTTTCCCCTAGAGCCTCCAGAGGGAGTGTGGACCTGCTGACACCTTGGTTTCAGCCCAGTGAAACTGCTTTTGGACTCGTAGCCTCCAGAACCGTGAGAGAATAAATTTTTGTTGTCTTAAGCCAACAAGTGTATGGCAGTTTGTTACAGTGGCCCTAGGAAACGAATACTGTCCTTCCATTCTGGGGTTCATTGGATATGGATCAGAGAATTTTCTTTTTAATGGCATTTAGGTGCCAGGCCCCCACGTCTGCTGGCATGGATGGCTGGAAGGAGAGATCGGACAGAAGCGGGTGAGTGAATGTGGCTGAGCTATGGGTGTTTCTGGATATGGCAGCTGCTTGGGTCATCAGCAATCATGTTTATGGGTTATTCTTCCCACCTTAGTCTTTCTACTTTCGGGGATGCCAAAGGTCTCAGGCACGCAAGCGACTTGACCCAGGACACTGTCTGGCTAGCTACATCTGAAGCAGGGATTAGAATAAAAATTCAAACCTTTGTCCACCTCTCTGGCCTCCTGCTAACCCCTTTCTCCTCTCCTACCACCTTCCAGACTCAGAGGCCTTTCTTTGACTTTCTAACACGTCCTTGGGGCCTTTGCACCTGTTGGTCCTTCCTCAGGGGTATCCCATGACTGGATGCTCCTTGTTCAGGTCTCAAGCTCAAGCTTCACCTCCTCAGAGAGGCCCTCCCTGACTGCACTGAGGCAAGTGGCTTTCTTCAGTTACTTTCTCTTTCATCACCCTGTTGATTTTCTCCCAGCTCTTCTCACACTCGGTAATTACCTTGTTCGCAGCTTTGTTGGACAGTTCATTGTTAGTCTAGTCCCCTCCCACTCACACTGCAAGCTCCAGGAGGGCAGAGACCTTGTCTGATCTGTCCAGGGTGTGTTCCCAGTCCATGCCTGGCACACATTAGGTGCTCAATACATTCTGAATGAATGAATGAATGAATGAATGAATGTGAATGAAGAAGTTTGCAGCTTCGAGGGATGTTTGCCCAAAGCCAGTCCCAACCTACCTGATCTTGGCTTTCCGAAAGGCCAGCTCCTCTTCGTTGCCAAAGTCCAGGGACACATCCTCAGTATCGTCCACCAGGGCCTGAGGGGGCACCGAAGGCGAGTGGCAGGCCGGCCCGCGAAACACAGCCGCACCCCCACCCTCTCTGCAGGCGTGGCCCCACCCCTGCGGCTGTGACTCGAGTGCCTTTTCCACACTCCAGCCCATCGGCGGTCCAGCCCAGGCCCAGGCCCCGGGCTCCCGCATCTCGTCTTCCCGTTTCTCCCAGCGCTCCCGCAGGCTCCTCCCGTCCCTGCCGCCATCCTTCCACGCCTAGCAAACCTCCCCTCCACCACACACCCCACCCCCTCCCAGCCTTACCTGCTTCATCCTCCCCAGAGTCCGCCTGGAGCCCAGACCTCAAACTCCAGCTCCGCCTCTCGCCACTGAAGGGCTAGGATGCCTGGTGGGCCCCGGCGGCGGCGGACGCGGTGGGGTCGAGGTGGGGTCGGAGCCTGCGCCCCGCTGTGCCGCCTGAGAGCAGGTCGCCGGTGGGGGCGGGGCGCGCGGGGCCCAGAGCGCAGTCGCGGGCTGGGGAGGGGGACTCCGCGGCCCTGGCGGAGGCGGGGCTCGCAGGGTCCCTGGGCCCAGGGGCTCACTGGAGACCGCGCCTAAAAGAGAAAAGAGTAGATGCTCAGAGAGGAAGGATCAAGGGTATAGACAGAACAGCGGCAGGGAGGGCGCGATCGGGCTCAGAAGCGGACTCGGGGACCGTGAACCCTGATCCCGAGAGGAACAGAGGGAGCGGGTCAGTGAATGAGGTGGATGTTCATAAATATTGGGTGCGAATGAGTGAATGAATGAATGAATGAATGTGTATTGGGCAGCCTCTTTCAGGGTCTGGAGAAGGTCTATGTTTCCCAAATGTGTGATCTCAAGAATCTCCCAGGTCCCTTATTAAAAGCAGAGTCCCAAGCCTGGCCCTGGGAATTCATAAGGCCTGAGGTGGGGGCCTGGAATCTGCCTTTTAATAGGTGACTCAGCTGCAGCCATAGTTTGGGAACCACTGCCGACCATAACGACAGCTGCACACACGACCAGGCGCCAGACACATACTGAGCACAAAATAACTATTACTGGCAGTAAGAGTGCTTCCAGATGTAAAGGGCTTCCCAGGTATCTCCCAGGAAAGAAGGCATGCCACCTGACAGTCTTCCCTGGCCCAGGACGAGATCACTTCCCCTCCTTTCTGCTCTCTCCCTCTCCTGAACCCCCACCCAGGGGCAGAGGGCTGAGCATCTAGATGCCAAGGTCCCTAGTCCTTCTCTCTGCCCTCCTGCCACTTGCAGTAGGAGCCTGTTCCTACTTCCTGGTGCCCCACAAAAGGGCTGCCGGTCACAAGCTTCACCCACTGCTGGCCCCTTCACCCACTGCTTGTGTGACCAGGAGGAGGAGTAGCCAGCAGAGCTGCACAGAGCTGCACCGAGCTGCCTAAGCTCTGATCCCCGGGTGGGGTTGTCCTTCATTCCCTGAACTGCCCCCATGAAAGGCCTGTTAGGTATGTGTGGAGGGAGGTTGCTTTTCCTTGGGGACAGAATGCCATCTTTATGGGTCAGGGGGTCATGAGTGGGGCCTGGATGCTGCAGCTCTAACAAGCTCTTAGGTGATGCTGCAGCTCTAACATGCTCTCAGGTGATGCTGCTGCTGCTAGCCTCTGGACTATCTTTGAACTTAAGGATCTAAACCATCAAAGCCTGGTTTCCTAGAAAAATCTGTTGGCTCTTCCAGCACAAAGCCATCTTTGGGCACAAAAGAGTGTCATACTGAGAGGCTGGGCCCGAACTGTCTGAGGGGATGGGGCAGGCAGGTGGAGGTGAGAAGCCGTTGCAGAATATTTAGGGGGTTTCCTCCTACCTTGAGAATCACCAGCTGTTGGTATCTGTTAAGTTGGGGCTCAGAGAGTCCTCAAGGGGGTGAGAAGGTAGGAAAGTCCCCTTGGAAGCCCTATTTTGGGACAAACTGTCATTGTCAGCCATTGGGTTGGGGGTGCCTCGAGAAACAGCCACAGCTCCCGCCATGTGGAGGTCACTCCCAAAATACGGGGTAAAGATGCTCTCCCCACCACCTGATCTGTCTGTATGGGGAGTGCAGGTTGAGGATGCAGATGGTGGGGCCAGACCTGGGAGTCCAGCATGTCCTCCCTAGAAGGGAGCGCCCATCCTGCACATGCACCCAGGGGGTGGGCAGAGAGCCCGAGGGTTCTGTAGGAAAGTCGTCATTGGCTCTGAAAACAGCGGCAGTGGGGCCATTTGGGGCTGCCGGTTAAAAGGCAGATTCCAGGGCTCCACTCCAGGCTTTTGAATCTCCAGGGCCAGGGCTTGGGAATCTGTTTTCAATAAGGGCTCTTGGGAATTCTTGAGATCAGAGACTTTTGAGAACTTCTCCCTTCACACTGATACCACTGAATACAGCCGCTAGTCACCTTCCGCTCGTCGTGGCCCAGAAGGGGTTTGGGAAGCAGAATTGCGAGGAGCAGCCCTATCTCTGATTTCTGGCCCTGGAGCCAGAACAACTAGGGGAAAGGGCTCCAGGCTCAGGCAGTCACTGGCCTCGGGGTGGCCCTTGGAGGTGAACACCTGGAGTTGGGTAGGCCTGGCTGGAAACATGGCTCCACCACTCCTCGGCTGAGTAGCCTTGGGCGGGGGACTTTACCACTCTGGCCTCAGTCTCCAGACCGGTAAAATGGGGCCACACCCACTCCCATCCGGCAGGGATGATGCCAGGGCTAGAGAAAACACAAGTAAAACACTCTCCTCAGAGTCGGGGCTCAGAAAGCAATGGCCCTGGTGACAATGACTTGTGGTTATCAGCAGAGGGGCCTGGGGGCCCAGGAACCTCCATGAGCTGTGCAGGACACAGGATGTGAGTCTCACGCTGGAGTCACTCTTTTTGCTGAGGGGCATCTGTCCTTGTGGGGGAACAGGAGCTGCACATCCAGCTCGGCTGGCTGTTTCCTGAGTATCTACCATGGGCCCACACTGTATGTGCCCGGGACAAATGGCAGCTGGGACAGAGGACAGTTCCCCAGATGAGTCCCTAGAAACCCTGGACCAGAAGGCAGAGGGGTTGGGTGTGAACTTACATGGTTGAATGCTGGAGCCCAGAGCCCAGCCGGGGGAGGCAGGAGGGGTCGGCATGGCTGGACCATACTCAGCTCCAAGTTACGCAGATGTTCTGCTCTTTATCCTGTGGGGAAAAGACAGCTGGCATAGAGGGTTAATTAGTGAGGGCAAGGAGTGCATGTCATCAGTCCTTGGGCTGGAAAAGGCTCTGAGCTGCTCCTGTTCCCTCATCAGGCACAGTGGAAGCAGCAGCCCCCAGGCCTGTCATTCCCGGGCCAGCAGCCACTCCTCAGCCTCAGCCTGGCACTCCTGATGGGTGGCAATCCCTAAGATCCTGCTAGTCCCTAAGATCTGTCCACCTGGCAATGGCCCCACTATTCACCCCAGGTAGGGTTGCCAGATCTAGCAAGTAAGAATAGGGGAGCTGGTAAGATTGAACTTGAGATAAAGAACAAATAATTTTTTTTAGTGTAAGTATATCCCACGCAATATTTGGGATATACTTATACAAAAAAAAAATTATCAGTTATCTCAAATTCAAATTTGCCCAGGTGACTTGTATTTCATCTGGCAGCCCTGTGACTCCAGGCCAGGATGCATCCAAGCCCACGAGCCTAGGGCTCCCACCCTGGTGTCTGGGCAGCTGCCCCCACACCTCTCACCCTCCAGCCTACTAAAGAAGCTGTTCCTTTCACCTGACCTGGCCCCTGTCCTTCACACTGACAGCCAGGGCAGAGCACCCACGAAGGCAGAGCAGAGGGCTGAGGGAGGAAGGTTGGTTCCTTCCCTGGGCTGCCCTCAGGGTCCCCGTTGGCCTTGCTGCCCTGCACACTCCAGGGTCCTTCACTCATCCACTTGGGTTGGGTAGGACATTAGGGAGGAAGTTAGGAAGGGCCACTTGAAGCCTCTACATTGTCAGCCCTCTGAAAAATCGCTGTGTGGTGGGGGAGCATTGATGCAGCGGAAACAGCTGGTGCAAAGGCCCTGAGGAGGGAAAGCCTGGGGTGTGTTCTGAGAGAGTGCGCCTCTGGCGGGCAGGCTAGCGGCGAGCGCCTCCCGAGCCAGCCAGCAGGGGGCAGCCGCTCCCGTCCCGCAAAGCCTTGTGGGCCGGGAGGGAAGCTTGGCAACAACCGACGCGGAGGCAAAATGGAACCCGCCTGGCCGAGCTCAGAGGCCTACATTTCCTGCTCTCACCTCCGCACAGGGCGGGGAACAGCTCTGGCTGCAGGATGGGAGAGCCCTGCAAAATCCGTGCCAAGTGGAAAGGTAGGAGAGCCTGGGAAGGGTCTTGTTTCTTGGGTCTTCCTGGTCTCTCTGATAGCCACCACCATTCATTCAGCAAACGGTTTGCAGATAAGGCCCAACCGTTTCGATTCACCTGGCGCCCTGGCTCTGTCCCAGCCCCTACCTGGCAAAGCTTTTTCTTTGGCAAGTCGTTTACCTTCTCCCTGGGGGTTGGGGTGGGGTGCCCTGCAGGCTGAGAATGTGGGGTCTCCCACCCCAGGGATGCAACGGAAGATGTTAAGGGCCTGGGTCCTTCCACAAACACGTTGCCAGAAAAGCATTGGAGAGAGGAACCTTCTGGTTTAAAGAGATTTAACCATATGCAAGGTGTGGACCTTGTTAGGAATCGATGCAAACAAACTGAGAAATAAAAATATTTATGAGGTAGTTAGCGAATAAACCCTGACGGGGTGTTGGAGAATACTGAGGATCATTACTCATTTTTAAAGGCATGATAATGATATTGTGGCTTTCAAAAATTGAGATATACAGTGGGTCCTCGAATGACGTCGTTTCGTGCAACGTCGTCTTGTTATAACGTTGATAAGAGAGAAAAAAAAGGATTCCTAGCCTAGGCCACTGTCTGTGTAGAGACTGCATGTTCTCCTCACGTCTGCATGAGTTTTCTCCAAGGACTCCAGTTTCCTCCCACATCCTAAAGATGTGCACGTGAGGTGAATTTCACGTCTCAATTGTCCCAGTCTGAAGGAGTGTGGATGTGTGTGAGTGGCCCTGTGATGGGAGGACCTCCTGTCCAGGTTAGGTCCTGCCTTGCATCTTGAGCTACGATCCCCTTCCCCATGACCTTGAACCCAAATAAGCATGTTGGAAAATCATTATCTTACTTGTTTCTATTCATTTTTCTTAAGTTTATGAGTAGCTCACATTAATTTCATTCAGTGTTTAATATGAGAAGTGTTTTGGGTCTTCATTCAGGAGTTTGGTTGACGTTTTTTTGACCAGAAATCTGCCGTAGGAACTTAA